TCAGCACCCACGAGGACCCCCAGCTGCTGGAGGCCACCCTGGCCCGGGTGCCTGGGAGCCTGCCCCGGCTCCGCTCCCTGGTCCTCAAAGGTGAGACCTGGTCCCTGGCCCGTGCCCACCTCTCGCTCGGCCTGCTTCTGCCGCTTGGCCCTCCAGGGCTAGCCCCAGCCCCAGCCCCGGCGCCAGGCCGCCCTCGCGGCTCCCACGGGGGGCTCCTCTCCTGCCCTGGTCTCTGTGCCTGTTGGCCTGGCCCGCCTCCCCCCAGGTGAGGCTGGCTGGGCGCGGCTCCCAGACCCGGCGCTGCCCAGTGGGGTCTCCCAGAGCTCAAGGGCAGGTCATGGCGTGGCTGTCAGGGGAGGTGGTCTGGCCGCTGCCCACCTGCGCCTGCCAGCGCCTTCCCGTGTCCATCTGTCCCCGTCTGGCTGGGGTGGGGCCGGGTCTGTCCAGCAGCTCTTTCCCTGGCTGGCAGGGCTGAGCTGGGCCCGGCCCTGGCGCTGAGGCCACATCCGCCTCCCCCTTCCCAGGAGGGCAGCGCCGGGACACGCTGGGTGCCTGCCTCCGGGGCGCCCTGAGCACGCTGCCTGCCGGCCTGAGCAGCCTGGCCCGCCTGGCCCACCTGGACCTGAGCTTCAACAGCCTGGAGAGGCTGCCGGCCTGCGTCCTGCAGATGCGCAGTCTGGACGCGCTCCTGCTCTCTCACAACCGCCTCTCGGGGCTGCCTGAGGGCCTGGGCGCCCTCCCGACTCTCACCTTCCTCGCCGTGGCCCACAACCGCCTGCAGAAGCTGCCCGCAGCCCTGGGGGCCCTGTCCACCCTGGAGCGCCTCGATCTCTCTCAGAACCTTCTGGACACTCTGCCTCCGGAGATCGGAGGCCTGCGCAGCCTCAGCGAGCTCAATCTGGCCTCCAACCGGCTGCAGAGCCTCCCGGCCTCCCTCGGTGAGTAGCCGCTGGGCTCCCTGGGCTCAGCGGCCCCCGGGCGGCCCTTCCACCTCCCTGGCCGGCGCAGCTCGCTGTGTGTCTGGCCGAGCTCTCGGCCCGCCATGGAGGAGCCCCCGAGACGGCTCCTCTGGAAGGCGCCTATCCCGGCACCCAGGTGGGTGGCGCCGCGCCGCGGCCTCTGCTGACCCTGACGG